CCGAGGTAATTCGGGGCTCTGGGCGCCCGAGCTATCTGAGGTAACGCGGGCCCGGGGTAGCTCGGGCTCGGAATCCCGAAGAGCGAACCCGCGTTGGCCCTGACCCGAGGTGCCCCTGATGATTCGGGGCTCTGGGCGCCCGAGCTATCTGAGGTAACGCGGGCCCGGGGTAGCTCGGGCTCGGAATCCCGAAGAGCGAACCCGCGTTGGCCCTGACCCGAGGTGCCCCTGATGATTCGGGGCTCTGGGCGCCCGAGCTATCCGAGGTAACGCGGGCCCGGGGTAGCTCGGGCTCGGAACCCCGAAGAGCGAACCCGCGTTGGCCCTGACCCGAGGTGCCCCTGATGATTCGGGGCTCTGGGCGCCCGAGCTATCTGAGGTAACGCGGGCCCAGGGTAGCTCGGGCTCGGAACCCCGAAGAGCGACCCCGCGTTAGCCCTGACCCGAGGTGCCCCTGATGATTCGGGGCTCTGACGTGCTGCCCTCCCCACCCCGCGCCCCGCGCCGCCGCCCAGGGCACCGCGCGCCACAGGCCACTCCGGCAAGATGCCGCTCGCGAGCGCGCGCGCGCCGCCGACAACACACTGGGCGGCCCCGCGGTGCGGCGCGGGGGGGCCCTGGCCCGTCGAGCAGGCGTGCCGAGCCGGCCCTGGGCCCTTCTGCGTGCCATCTCGCCCCGGGGACGCGTTCCAACAAGGCCGCCTCGCCGAGAGCACTCCGGGAGCGCGCCCGGCGCGCGCGCCCCACGGCCGCGAGGGCCCGAAGTACGGCAGAGGGAAACAATTCGTGGGCCCCCCCCCGCCCCCCCGAGCTCAAAGCTGGCACGCGCGGGGAAGGCTGCGGTCGGAGTGCAGCTCGGTCGGCCCCCACCGCCAACATTGATCATCGAGGGGGCACTGAAGGATGAATGTGTCGTGGGTGTTCCCTAGTTTCTTCCAAGGCCTGTATGGCCTGGAGGCCAATCCTCTTCGCGTCTTGAATAGCACCGCGACGGACGGGTTCTTGCTATTCTCGGTCTCTTTCGCGGCCCTGCTGGGCCCCAGGGCCGCCCGAGCAAAAGGATGGCCCCGGAAACTGGAAACGGCACTCGGATGAACAACTGGTCCCAGGTAGGGGGCCCAGAGGCCTTGTTGAGAAATACATATGACGTCGGAGATCTTCCATGGCAGGAGCGATATATCACCCTGGCCAGGACTGTGTGTTAGAACTCCCTGTCTTGTCCCCATCTCGGCCTGTGGAGCTGTTATCGGGCCCCGCGGCGATCGGAAATTTGACACAGCAGGGCGGAAACACCACCCGAACAAGAGCCCCTGCTGCTGAAGCCACAGCGCGGCAGGGCCCCTTCCCACTGGCTTTTGGCGGCCGGGCCCCGGTGGGGTGGGAAAATCACCCGGATGGGCCCCCGCCGACAGTCCACAACGCGGCAGCTCGTCCAGGTCCGCGATGGATGACCACCGCCCCCCCCCTCTGACCCCGAAAACCCCGACCACCCCTGGCATTCCGACGAGCACCAGACGGCGACGCCCCCTCGACCCCCTCCGACGAATCCGACAGGCTCCACCATCTCCAACATTCACTCCGCTTGCGCCGCCTGGTCGTCGTCGCCACCCCACTGTGCGCATCCTCGTCGCGGGTGGCCCCTCGCTCCTGGCAGCCGTTCTCTCCATCGCCGTTTCCTCGCCTGCGCTTGCTTCTCCCTTCTATCCTTTCCCGCCTGCCCGCCCGTTCTCCCCCTCCGTCGCCGCGCAGCACAGCATGCCAGGATCCGGCGTGGCTGGGGGCGGTGTCGAAACGAGGGCCGGGAGAGGTCCTTGGACGAAGCGCCGTCCCCGTGGCAGGGGTCGGGTGCCCTGGGGCTCCTCCTCCCCCCTCGGCGGGCCCCATGGGGGGGAAGCCCAGGCTGATCCGCTCGCCCCCTCTTCCTCCTCCTCCCCCTCCTCCTCCTGCTTCGGGCGCCCCCGTATCCTTGACCCCGTCTTGCTCCACTGCCACTCCAGCCGTCTGGAGCGACATCTGGGAGTTCGGCCTCCGCTCTGAAGCGGGCGGCAGCCTTGGGGAGGAGGCGGGCGACGAGGGGAAGGGTTAAAGGAAGAGGGACAGGATGAGGAGGAGGAGGAGGAGGAGGAGGAGGACGAGGAGGAGGAGGAGGAGGCGGAGGGAAGGAACGCAGGAGGATGAGTTGAAAGGGTGGGGGCAGCAGGGTGAGGACGAGGGGCAGGCGCGGGAAGAAGGGGGTAGGGGAAGGAGAAGGAGAACGCAGGATACACGGGGAGGGCGAGGGCGAGAAATGCCTCGCGTCGCCACGCGTCCCCTGTCCGAGGAACGCCTCCGACCTCCACCCTCCGCACCCTGCCGCGCGGCAGGTGCCACCGCGCGGGCGCTCTCGCCACGGCTGCTGCCACTGCTTCGCCGCGGCATCTGTCGCGCGGATAAGGCGCGCGAGGCAGAGGTCGAAGGAAGAGGAGGAGCGACGGCACTTGCGGGGAGTCCCTGGCGTCAG